TAATTCACATGGTACCTGGAACATTAATTACAAATAATAATAATGATAATGATAATAATAATATGTGCTAATTAGGGCTAGACTATTTTGTATGAGCAGGCTGTTTCCTATCTCATTTAAGGAAAACTTTTGAGAAATCCTTCAGCTGTTTATTTTGCATCTGAAACAATGATCTCTTAGTCAAAGGGTAGCATGTTTGCATACGTGTCCTACTTGGGCCAGCACACACTGACACAGATGAATTTCACTTTGAATCTGCTCAGTCTTGTAATTTTCTTCTCACTCAGTGAGATTCTGACCTGACCTCAGTGTTTCCAGTAAATCATTCACAATAAAGAACTTTTGGGGCATCATCTGTGCCTTCATCTCCTTGTCGCCAAATTGGAAGCACAGTCCATTGGAGTGGACTCTTACAGTGTTTTCCTGCTGCATACATCCTGAAATGAAATTACATCACACACAGAAAAGATCATTTCTTCCAATTCAGCAGCCAGAATCGAAGAGGAAGTGAAATGAAGTCAATGGATTTTTTAAGAAATTATAAAACAAGGTGTACAATGTAACTTCGTATTTTCTCCCTTTTGTAAAGTGTGCTTTTACATAGCAAAAGCCCTGGAAAAGATACCCATTCAACTACCAATAGTGGCAAACTCTAGAAAGTGAAACTGTAAGTGATTCCCCCTTATTACGTCTTTTTTGGTACCTTCAGAAAAGACTCGATGACCCTGTGTTGTTTGTGCAGTTAGGAAAATAGCACAGTTAAAAAATAGATTGAAAAAGCACTGTACTTAGTGCAGTGGGGCTCAGTGGTAAAGAATCCACCTGCCAATGCAGGAGACGTGGATCTGATCCCTGGGACAGGAAAATCCCCTGGAGAAGGGCATGACAACCCACTCCAGTATTGTTGCCTGGATGCAATGCTATGGGCAGAGGAGCCTGGTGGGCAATAGTCCACGGGGTCACAAAAGAGTTGGACACTACTTAATGACTAAACAAAAACAACAGCTAAGCATAGTACCAGGCAAATCTTAGATGCTCAATGGTTGCCTAACGATGTAGTGAATGGTCCACAATCTGGGCATTTCCTGAGGAGCTGACAGTTCAGGTTCTCTGGCATATCCATCATCCTGACTCCACCACCGAATGATCTCTCCAAGATAACAAGAGCAAGAGGAAGGAGAAAGAAATAGATAACAAAGATTTAGGAAGGAGAGTGCAATAAGTGGCAGGTTACATCCCTTGATCACAGAATGTTGCACCTGAGACACATGCTATGGAAACCCCATTTCCTGGGCACTGTGCAGGCACCTCACGGAGATCACAGTCTCCCACTCTTTCCTAGCTCTCAGCATGCAGGTGGGGAATTACTCGGACCCATCACAAGTGTAGGTAGTGACAATGATTTGAATCAAGGCCTCCTAACCCCGTTCAGGGCTCCTTTGATAAAGAAACGCATCTATGAAATACATGCGCATATATATATATATATGTAAACTCATCTTAATGTAGAGACTCAGATGGGTAATGGGAAATTAAAAACATTAAGAAGAACCAGAAGACTGAAGAAAAAGAAAAAGGTATATTTATGAGCTCCATTATAAACAACCTTCAGTCAATAGTATTTATGAAAGGCACGAATGTTTTCAGAGCCTTGAGAGAATCAAGCCACAAAGACAAAGGAAGTAACCCATCCAGGGTAGAGAACACCTCATCTGCCCAGATTAAAAAAAACAAACAAACAAAAAAAAAAACCAAACAGAGCCACTGAGCAACAATTTGTGGGAGAATCTCCTTTGTGCGTTTAGGAAGTCATTCCTTGCTCAGTCAGGTTTTTTTGTTCAACGAAATAGAGCAAAGTTTATTTGTCTTTTTAAAATTCTGGATCCTTGCCTTCTACCCACCCCAACAAAATCCCTACATTAAAAGACAGAAATTGGTAGCTGACTCTATTGTTAACCCAAACCCCAAAACTGTACCCCCAAATGTCAAAGGGATGATTTATACATACACTGCAGATATACCTAGGGACCATCATGTGCAGTCCGTGAGAAGAAGGGGAATTGAGCCTCTTACATTGCAATTCTCTACTTAAAGCCTGTCCCTTCTTCCAGAACTTTTTTTTTTTTTTAATTTTTAAAGCAGACACAGGACACTGCATTTTAGCCAGGATCTCAATGAACTTCATGGATATTATCTAAAAGCCAGTATTAGTTTTTCTGTTCTTTAAACATGTCTTGTACACTACAGTTTAAATAATTTAAATGTGATACAGAGAGTTCATATTTTGACAGAGATAAAGGTCAAAAATGGAGATCATATTCATTCCTCTCTTTCCCAGGCATCAGTTCTCTGGCTGGGAAAGGCTTGGGAAATGCCATAAGAATTTTGGAATCACTTGATCCCACCTGCTGAACCTCCATCTCCTCCCCTGCATGGGTGCTGACTGATTCTACAATCTGGGAGACAACTCTAGGCAATGATTGTCAGAAAACTTTAATTCCCTGGGAATCAACTCATTATAAACATGAGTTAATTGAAATTTGGGTTTTGACTTTACTGTTATTAATAATAACATTACTGAAAGTATCATTATACTCTTATAAAAAGCTCTTATGAACAATGCTCTGCTCTTATAAACAAATTTCAAAATTTTATATTGCCCCAAACAGTAGAAATTTTCACACATGTCAAAGCCAAAATGGGTGGCACTGATCAGCCATAGTCCTCATCCTGATTCTAGCAAATAGGCTCCTCCTTCTCATTGCTCTGTCATCTTCAACATGGGGCTCCTTGTTGAAGGTTAACAGCTTGTCTATGTCTGCAGCAAGCAGGTCACCAGGAAAGAACATGGAAGGGACCATGAGAGATCCTTATGTGCTGGACCAGGAAGTGAAACATTTCAGTTTGACCACACTTCATTGGTTAGAGTTCAGACACATTACCACACTTAATACAAGGGAAGCTGGGAGATGTAGGCTGTGTGTCCAGAAAGTAGAAGAAACAGACGTGTTGTGTTGCTAACCAGTCTCCATGACAATAGGGAAATAAAATCAGCACAGTAACAACAGTTTCCAGAGTATGCCCTTGAGGCTACAGAAGTGAGACCTAGTCTAATAACACATCTTCAGTCCTATACAAGATCCCTGTGTAGAATAAAGATCTGAGAAGTTTTTTTCCTCTAAGAAAATATCACCATAATGGGAAAACTCTTGAGAAATGAAAGCAAAGATATATCATAGGGCAAAACAAGAGTTTCAGCAAGAATTGAAGGAGAAAAAAACACCGAAATATCCCTATTTAGTTAAAATTTTTAATTTACCGCAAGTTACATTCCTTATTCAGTCCAGTTAATTGGGAGGTTACCCTAACCAGTTAACAAGCCATGGTTTTTTAACAGTGATATTGTAGTTTTGATTATCCTAATGAATTCCTATGTATGTATAATTTACCAGAGATTAAACAGAAGCCAAGGGAAAGAAAGAGTGAGGGAGGGAGGAAGGAGAAAAGAGGGGACAGAGAGAAAAAAAGAAGAAAGGGAGGAAGTGAGGAGTGAAGGATGGAGGCAGGAGAAAAGACAAGGGAGGGACGGAAGCGATTCCCCTGTGGGGGAGTGTTTGCTCCACCGTTTTCTGACTGGAGAAGGACACGGGTTTGAAAGCCAGTCTCTCCTGCTCTAATTGCAGTGATGAAAAGTAGCTCTGTGGAAAGACACCCATAAGTATTTGAAACCAGGTTACAGCCCCCTTTGGTAATTTGCTTCTGTAAGAAACATACATGCTGACAAATTATCTTTAACTCCTCCAAGAAGAGATCTGGTTCTTATGGGAATTTGAATTTATTTCAAGGGTGGGATGGGAAGGAAAGCATTCATGACACCAGTTATTAAAACAGATTTCACGACTGGAAGCCTGAAGAGTCTCTGGCAGAAAAACACCTTAACTCTAATCAAAGCGAACTGATGTCCTTGATGTTGGAGGTGTGCAGGATGAAAGATGAACAGGTTGTGCCTATTCTACCTCAAACCAAATACTCACACTGACTTGTCCCCTTGAATCTGATCCGTCATCTGAGAAATGGAAACACTGAGGTGTAGTTTCACCTGATATTAATGAAAGTAAATGAAATAAATGCACTCAAACATCGCAAATGGAAGTACAATTTGGAAGGTAGTTCCTTTGGAAATTGTATCAAGGTTAGATACACTCATACGTTTTGAACCAATCATTGACTTTCTAACCTGCAATGCTCTTAATTTCAGGGAAACAAAAATTCTTAGATATAAGATGTATATTGCATAGTTATGACAGCAAATGCTAACAATGGGGTTGTTTCAGTCAATTTGGCATATAGACTATAATAAAGGTGTGTGAAATTATGCTGTAGCTTTGGTTTTATGCAGTTTATTACATATTTGCTGTTGTTGTTTAGTGGCTAAGTCGTGTCCAACTCTTTTGCGAGCCCATGGACTATAGCCCACCAGCCCCTCTGTCCATAGGGTTCCCCAGGCAAGAAAACTAGAATAGGTTGCCATTCCCTTCTCCAACCTGCACTGCAGGCAGGTTCTTTACCACTGAGCCACCTGGGAAGCCCTTATTACACGTTGCAGATCAGTAAACTCGTAATTATTGAATTTTTAGAGATCTAGTGTCAAAGAAGCTGTGACCTCAGTCTTTAGATTTAAATGAACATTTTAGTTTGTGCTTTCTGAGTGGCTAGAATATTGTATTTCTCTTTCTAAGTTTGGGGCGTTTTGATGACTTTACATTTGGGAATGAATTGAAATTGAATACTGGGGTCACTTTGAAGTGGATGCAATTTTGCAAAGCTTGGAAACAGGCTTAAAAGATAATGTTAAGTGAAAAAGCATGAAAGAAACTTATTGGTAGAGTCTGGTGACAAGAAAATGAAGCAGAAATTAACATCTTGAAAAGAAAAAAGTCCTACTTTTTTCCAGTTTCCTTCCTCTTTTCAAAATTTCTTCAAGAAGGAGGAGCAGGAGGATGCGTGCCGAGCCTGGACAGCCGCAGCATCTGGGGGGCCGGAGGGGCTGGAGTCTTGGGGACAAGAAGTGCAAAAGGCACAGCGGGTGTAAAGAAGCCTATTCAGTGTACATCTACAAGGTGCAGAAGCAGGTGCATCCCGTCATCGGCATCTCCTCCAAGGCCATGCACATCATGAACTCGTGGGCTGAAGCATCCTGACATCTGGGAGGTCCAGATAGCTGTGCATCTGTGGCTGCCTAGGGAGGTGGCCACGTACACTGTGTCCAAGGGCACCAAATCCATGACCAAGTACACCAGCTCCGAATGACCTTGGACCTGACCTTAATAAAGGCTGAATTGCTAAAAAAAAAAAAAAAAAGTCTTCAATAAAAAAATTAAAGTTTTCTTTGAGAAAAAAAAAATATATATATATATAAACTTGAAAAGAATTGCCTCTTCCACCTACACCTTCCCACACCTTGACTGTAACTCTGAGGTTGTAACACTCATGTAGATTACATGAAGCCTGATATGAGCCAGGTGACTGCATTATCTTCTATGCAGCTGGGTGCGCTTCATTCCCAGAAGCAATGTGAGCCCTCAGAAGGACAGATGTTTATGTTGTTAACCAAGTGTCCCAGGTCCACAACCACTTCATATGGAACAAGGATGATGACAATGAGCATCTATTTACATTCTTTCTATGACTTTTTTGTGTGGACCCTTTTTAAAGTCTTCACTAAATGTGTTACAATATTGCTTCTGGTTTTGTTTATTTATTACTATTTTTTTTTATTTTAAGGTTTTTTTAAACCTTTTTGTTTTTCATGGCTGTGTTGGGTCCTCCTTGCTGAGCATGATGTTTCCCTAGATGCAGTGGCTTCTCTTGTTGCAGAGAACTGGCTCTGGGCCCCTCAGACCTGAGTAGTTGTGGTACATGGGTTTAGTTGCTCTGTGGCCTGTGGGATTTTCCCCGACCAGGGATCAAATCGGTGTCCCCTGCATTTCAAGGCAGATTCTTGACCACTAGATCACCAGTGAAGTACTGCTTCTGTTTTTATGTTTCGGATTTTTGGTCACGAAACATGTAGAATCTTAGCTCCCGGACCAGGGATCAAACCCATACCCCTTAGATTGAAAGGCAAGTCTAAACCGCTGGACCACCAGGGAAGTCTCTGAGCATTCATTTAGAAAAGGAATTCACGCAAGAATCCTATTCGGTTCTGCTGCAGTCCTTTACCCTGGATCTAGAAATGACTTCTCAGGCTGACGACGTATAAGGCAGCGGGAGCACCAGAACCTCCCTCCCCGCTCGCCTTTGATGTGACTGTACCATCAACACGAAGGCCAGCTCCTAGAAGGCGAGCTGAGTCAGGTCTCCTGGCTGTCAGGCTCCTTAGTGCTTGTGCAGGCAGAGTGAGGTTTTGTTTCTCTTTCGGTAATAGCGGCCTATCTGAGCCTACCTTGGTCAGGACCGACTGCATCATCCTAAAATGACTGCTTTTTATTTCTCCTGCATTTAATCAGATGCTCTGCCACTAAAATTTTAAAAAACAGTGCTTAGATCCTGTTGAACTGGGCATGAAAGATTCCCTTTGCTCCAGGTTCTGATGGAAGAGACTTAAGCTTTAAATTGTGAAGAATCTCAAGGATCCTACTTGCCTGTGATCTCACTTTAGCCCCCAAGTCCTGTCTCCTCCTCAGTTCAAGAGTTGGGATTTTTCAATCAAGGGCAATTTTGCCCCCCCTTCCCCCAAGGGGACATTAGACAATATCTGAAGACATTTTTGGTTGTTGCAACTTGGAGGGAGGTGAGGACATGATCAAGAGTATTGACCTTGAATAGGCAAAAGCTAGCACGCTGCTAAACGCCCTACAATGTCAGTAGTGTCCAGGTCGAGAAATCCTAGTAGTTTTCAGACACGCCTTTTTGATTCAGGATGTATGGGGTGATCCCTGAAATCCGCATTTCTCATAAGTTCCTAGGTGATACTACTCTCTTCTGGACTAAGGACAATGCTTGGAGAACTGTTGGTCAGTATTTTCAGAGACAATATCCCCAGGAAAATAACATGTAAAGGCTTAGGAAGAGTTAGCTGGAGAAAAATGGAAAGATACGCTTTTGCAGGCAGTATGTGCAAACACAGAGATGGGAAGTTTTGGCATGTTTAAGTAATGAAACTAGCAAGCATGGGGTTGAATAAAGCTGGAGAGAAAGCCAGGGACAGACTTCACTGGGTTATAGTAGAAGTGTAGGTCTTCTTAGGTGACTCAGTGGTAAAAGAACCCACCTGCCAATGTAGGAGACCCAGAAGAAGTGGGTTCGATCTTTGGATCAGCAAGATCCCCTGGAGGAGGAAACGGCAACCCACTCCAGTATTCTTGCCTGGAAAATTCCACGGACAGAGGAGCCTAGCAGGCTACAGTCCACAGGGTCACAAAGAGTCAGACACAACTGAGCAACTGAGCACACACTGTAAATTATGGCTTTTATTCCATTGAAAGCATTGGAAAGACACTGGAGAGACTTTTAGCAGGGAATGGGGACTCTTGACCAGGCAGTTGAGGGTAAAGGAGAACTTGTTGCTTGTAGTTCAATAAAAGAGCATGGCCTTTGGAGCCAGACAGTCCTGAATTTCAATTCTAGTTAAGCCTCTTTAACTAGCTACATGATCAAGGGCAAATTATTTCAGTTTCTATGAACCTCCGTTTCCTCATCTGTAAAATGAAACCATTCGGACCTGCTCCACTAGATTGTTGTGAGAATAAGTGAGATCACGTTCATAAAAGTGTCTGGCACACAGGAGGTGTGTGGCTCAACGAATGTTAATTCTCTTCTATTAAGCATCATGATGAAAGGACCAGGGGCCCCTCCAGGACCTAATCTGCATCTCAAAGAGCACTCAGCAAAGCATGATGTCAGCAGCCCAGGTCTGTCCAAAGAGTGCTTGCATCACCTGTGTGTGCCAAACGTATGTCAGGGCCTGCCGCTGGCAAGTTTACAGGCAAATGAGGCAACCACCAACCCACACAAAAATGCTGCAAAACTAATGCTAGGTTTTCAGATACCATCACAAAACTCAGGCCAAAGTTACCTAATTTATTGACATTTGGATACTTCAGAGGCTCTTTTATCGGGCCCGTATTGTTTTGTAGCCTGACAATGGGAAGGGGAAACAGGGCTTAAAACCACAATAAATAATAATAATATTTAGCACTTAAGTAACCTCCACCAGCTTCAAAGCCACTTACAAGCACTCACAAATTAAGACTCACCCAGCCCCAGCCTTGGGAAAATGTCATTATCTTGGTTTCTTCAACGCAGCACAGAGGATGAGACAATAGAGTTGTCCAAATTCTGGTCACATGGCTTCAAAATCAGCTGCTTTAATTCAATCCAGGCATCTCTAGAGGGTCCATTCTAGAAGAATCTGGATATTTCCTTGGATCATAGTTTATGCAGAATGTTTGATGAGAAGAGCAAGCTCCACTTTACAAGACTCCTTTAAAATAATAATAAAAAAGATGGAGAGACACAGATATAGAGACACAATGAGGACACAATGAGGGAAGGAAAGAGTGGGACAAATGGATGAAGAAGCAGTGACATGTATAGGCTACCATGTGTAAAGTGTATAGCTGTTGAGAAGTTGCTATATAACACAGGGAGGCCAGCTTGGCCCTCTGTCATGACCTAGAGGGTTGGGATGGGGGTGTATATATGTATATAATGATATTGATGAAGCTATTTGCAGGGTAGGGCTAGAGATGCAGACAGAGAACAGACTCAAGGACATGCCAGGGGAAGGGAGGGCTGGACGGAACTGAGAGGGTAGCACTGACATATATACAATCCCGTATATGAAATAGGTGGCTAGCAGGAAGCTGCTGCATGGCGCAGGGAACTCAGCTCAGTGTTCCGTGACCTGGATGGGAGGGATGCGGGTGGGTGGGAGGAAGGTTCAAGGGGGAGGGCTTGTATATACACAGATAGATGATTCACTTCATTGTACAGCAGAAACTAACACAATATTGCAAAGCAATTATACTTCAATTAAAATGTTAAAAAGAAAAGAAAGAGTTCCTTGTGAACCTAATTTTGTACAGAAGTTCCCAGCACAAGCTGAGTTAGACTTAACTGGAAGATTGGTTTTATTAGCCAAAGAAGTGGTATCTCTGAATTCCCAACTCTCTCACCCTGCCATCTCTCAGAAAACTGAGTGAAAGTCGGGATTTTTTTTTGCATGTGTTTGGTAATTATATAATGATGATAATAATGATAATATCTCAAAGTTTCCTCATTTGCAAACTAGAGATAATGGACCACAGGGTTCTCATGAGGACAAAGTATGAAGAATGCCAGGATGGCAATCAACACAACAAAGCTTTCCTTATCATTGCTGTGGTTGATGCCATTGCCACATTTATGTGACTTTATTATTTTTCATATATTTCTCATATGCTCCATATTACAAGTTCATAACAGTCCTCTTGTAAAGATAAGCAGGTAACATTACCCTCTGTGCAAATGTGGGCTCAGAAACAGCAAATGAACTAATCTAAAACCACACAGCTGGTTGCTGTTATTATACCTCAATATTATTTGCACAAAAAAATGTATTAAATCTGAATGCAAAGTTCAGCTATGATGCTGCTAATATCTCTCCTATAGATAGTCTTACTGGTTATCTTACCAGTGGGCAAACTCACTGGTTATCTATGGTAAGAAAAATGAAGTCCTATAGAATAATACAGCTACCCATGATCTAGTTGCAGAGACTAATTTCTTAAATCCTTTGTGTTTTTTGGCAGTAATTGCAAAGCTCAGAAATAAGAAACCAACTCAAAGGCACAGAGTTGTTAGAGTCAGAGAGTGTGTAAAGCCCAGCTCTGTTCCTCACCAGCTGTGGGATGGTGGGGAACTCAGCTCTTCAAAGACTCTGTTTCCTCATTTATAAAGTGGGAACAATAAGATCAACTTCCTGAAGTAGCTGTGGTACATATATACAATGGAAGTTTACTCAGCCATAAAAAGGAACACATTTGAGTCAATTCTAATGAGGTGACTGAACCTAGAGCCTGTTATACAGAGTAAAATAAGTCAGAAAGAGAAAAAGAAATATTGTATATTAATTCATATATATGGAATCTGGAAAGATGGTACTGATGAACCTACCAGCAGGTCAGCAATGGAGACGCAGACATAAAGAACAGACTTGTGGACACATTGGGGAAGGAAAGGGTGGGACAAATAGAGAGAGTAACATTGAAACATATACATTACCATGTTTAAAACAGATAGCCAGTGGGAATCTGCTCTAGGTCTAG